AAATAATAGGCAACTCAAAGTCAAAAGAGAAATAAGATAAGGGTAAGGGATTTATCTTACCCAAAATCTCTATGAAATCATACAAAATATCTGGTTACTATATGTAACCAGAGTTACCATTCCTGTAAGAAGGAAACGATATCATCTTGAATCAGGAAGAATCTCGTTTCAACCACCACTACCATCACGTCCTTCTATAAAAGAAGTGATCGGTTAACCTAAAAAGGTACGCCAAATTTTTTATATATAATCCTTATCGGATATTAGATCGTTAAGTACTAACTTGACTGTCGGAGTGCACCCGACCGACACTACGCTGGCTATCACTTATCTTGTTTTGTAGGAATTGCCACCGACTCCGGAACGTGTAGATTTTTGGCATCAACAAGGTTAATTAGAGATAGAAAATACTGGGTTAGGGTTTCGAACAATCTATATATATATATATATGTATGTATAGATTTGTATATTTGTGATTTGGTAACTGGTATACAACCCTTCAATCTCTTGGTTTGGTATACACACGGATTTATGAATTGTATCTCTATGATAGCCTTCCATCACCCAACCCTTCATCATTAATCATAAAATCTTCAAAGAATAGTAAGAACAATCCCACTGAAAAATTCTTTATATATATATATATATATATAGATGAAAAGGGCAATTTAGTCATTTAAGTATTTTGATATTTTATAATTAAAATTAATAAAATAGTAAAGGGTAAAATGGACTTTCATATATATTGAGGCTCTGGCTGGATGGCAAATTTCATAAAGGGGTGTGGTTGTCCAAAAACAGGCAAACTTTCATTTGCTTGACCTTACCCCAAACTTCAGGGGGTGTCTTTGTACTTTATCCTAAAATAAAAAATAAAATTTAATTTAAGGTATTAAAATATTGTAGTGCATTTGAATTAAGTGAGATCAAAATAAATTAAGGTTCATTGTACACAAATAATAATAATAATATTTAAAAGGATAGGGAAAAAAAAACCTTGCCTCGTGTTTCTTTTAAAAGCGAAGAAAGAAATCAAAATGAAGACGAGCAAATGATAAAATTTAATAACAGCTAATCATCACATTATCTTACTATTCTAAAAATGTGAAAATTTTGAAAAAAATGACCATGTTTTTGGTGATTAATTGTCTTATTGAAAAAGGAGTTCAAATAAAAGGATAATGGAATTGCTGATTAAATACTTCTCGTATATTTCCGCAACTAGTGAATTTTAATTTTAGCTTCTATATCACACAATAAAACACTCATTTTTTTTTTGGTTAGTATCTCATTAACATGGCAATCTTATTATTAATGATGACCTTCTCAAATGCAGCTCTTGCCAACAAAAACATTGGGCCCATATTTGAGTGGGAGATCAAAGAAAGCTGGTTCATATCCTTTAAGATGATGATTCATGTCAACAATTTTGTTTGGATTCTTTTTTCTGGACCAATAAATGGCCCAGGCCCATAGATACAAACAACATAAACTCGTTTGTTGTAGATCGTGTGGGCTTGGCTTTTAGGCCTAAGTATTGGGCCGAGTCACTTGCATTTGTTTGATTATTAATAGTGAGACGCCAGTGAGTGAATCTCACACACAGATGCATGTGCTTCGGTCCATAATTTCGGTTGAAATGAAAAAGCAAACAACCATTTTGGCCTACTCTGCCAAAAATCAAACGTTGGACCCACTATATTAATTAAGTGAAAAGGCAAACATAGTTCATTGGTTTTTCAAGCCTCATAGGTAGATGTTACAATGTTTGATTTTTTAATTGACTACATAAATCGTATTGCTATTTAATCGTATCACAACTCATATTTTCACTGAATTTCCATAGTCTTGACAATTTCCGTTAAAATATATATTTTTTTATTATTATTTTTTTTAATTCACAACTGGTAAATCTCACTGTTAATATATTATTAGGTATAAAATTACAGTATCGTTAACCTTTATATGTGTGTTGACTTTGAACAAGTCTACTAATTAATACTTTAACCAAAAAAAAAAAAAAAGTCTACTAATTAATACACTTTCTTTTGTGAGCATCTACTTCTATATGAGCTACTTAAATTAGAAACAGAATGATTCACACAATCAAATCCTTGGATATGATTGGTTTATATACTTGGATCTGCAAAATTATTGAGGTGGTCGCTTTCCGACCGTTCATAAATTGTTATGTGCCTTCGTCAAACATTCATTGAAAAGTATTAAGAAGAGAGATCCTCATAAAATTGACAAGGTAGCATTAATATATATATATTAGAAAAGTAACCGGTAATTAATGATTTAAAAGTTTAAGTTGTTAAATACACGCACTTGATATAATCATACACCACAGCTTATCTGTGACTATTTCCCTAACGGTGGGAGGTCAGACCCGGTAACGACTTAGACACAAAAGTTGAAATAGTTAGGCGAACCCTTGTCATGGTCAGACCACTTGTTCATCTGGTCTCTCTAGATAATGGTGGGAATCAAGTAATTAACAACACGATCTTAGACGCCACTCAGATGAAAACTTGGTGTGATATTAGATCAAGGACTATTAAGGATTGAGTGAAATACCACTTACAACAAGTTCGAACTCTTGTTATCTTACCTAAAAAAATTAAACTAGTAGGTGGACCTGTCGATTCTCCCTGACAAACCAGGCCAAGACCCTCCCTGCTATTTGGATCCCACCTGAAACTAGAACCTCTAACAATATATAGGCTAGCTAGAAGACTAGCTTGGACACTCTCAACATCAATCAACCGGAATGATCAGTTAATTAAACATAGAAGATTTTATTCGATCATGAATCAAACACAAGATACAAATAAACAATAGTACAAACACTCATGCACGAAACTGTATCAACAAAGAAGTGATTTATGACATATAGCACAAAACAATGATACATATATATAGTATATATATAAGACTACGCAGTACTTCTCTGGATCACCATCACCCGGAAGGTTTGATTTTGTTCTTGCTGCTAGAGGGAGTAGCAGCTTTCACCACTTTCTGAATAATCTGTGTGCTCACCTTCGTCTTACCCGGAGGAATCACACTCCCATGCTTAATATATTGTGACATCGACCCTTGACCATCCTTATCTGCCATATATATCACCTCTGTCTAGTTCTCTCTTAATGCTGCTTAATTGCCTTTCACAAATGAAAATGATAAATATTAATGGTAGCTCTTATGTTTCACAATTGAAGAGAACATTGGGTATTTATAGACGGTTAAGTAATACTTTTTCTCTTGATATTGCATGTTGGTGTTGGTGTGTGTGTGTGTCAGTATGTGTGGGTGGGTGTAGGAACTCAAACTCAATGACGGTTTACGTGTCACGCGTGAACGTGGAATTTGGGCTAGCGTCCCCACACAGGTCTTTCCTGAAATATCCCAGTAGTTAAGATAAACAATTTAGAAAAGAACCACCAAATTAACAATAATTTATTTGAAATATAATCCTTTTCAATTAATTTATGGAAGCTAGTAAGAATTTCAGAGAAAATTAACGAAAATTTTAATGAGCAATGCATGCATGTATGCACTCTTTTCTGTATGCTTCTTACGATCGAAGTAGAAACATATACGTTATTGTTTTGGTTTACACTGTCACTTCCCTCTCTTTTCCAAGTTCCAACCATTATACTGGTTTTGTGTTTACTGTGTGTAATTTCAATTCATTTTCGGAGAAATATAATAATGCTTTTCAAGAAATAGAAAGAAAAGTATGCAAATCTGACGGTGGAGATTCTTTATTCGGATTAGATTAGTATTTCCTGTGAGAGAAGAAATGTGAAATTGAAAATGTCGGAACATGGTACATCGGCCAGTCAATTAATTTCAGGCTAAAAGATTATAAATCATCATAGAAGACCTAAATGCTGTCAAGGAGCTGTCCGTACATAGCTCAACCAATCAACCAAATCAAAGCAGATCGAATTTGGATAGTCATGTAAATTCCTAAAGGTATACTCATGTATTATAATTTTTAGCTAGTTAGGTTCCGTTTGTTTTGACGGAAAATATATATATATATTTTTAAGTAAAATATTTTTTTATTTTTCAGTGTTTGACAAATATATAGGTTGAGTTTATCGGGTGAGACGTGTAAAATAATTTGTCGAAAATTGATGAATAAATTAATTTTGTTACATTTTAATATTATTATTTTTTTCATTTTTAATATTATATATTTTAATACATATTTTACGACAACAAAACACCAGGGAAAAAAAAATAAAACGGAACCTTTAGTTTTGTTGGTTAAAAAAAATACTTAATCCAGTTTGTTAGCTATTTGGGTAATGTTCAATGTATCATTATTATCAACTGTTTAGCAAGCCGCCCCTTAGCCACAGTACACTACAAGAAAAACAATTTTTTTACCATACTTTTTTTACCATGGTTTTAAAAAAATCGTGGTAGAAGATCCTTTCTACCACGGTTTTAAAATAATCGTAATAGAAAATATATTTTTTACCACGATTATTTTAAAACCGTAATAGAAGACCCTTTCTACCACGGTTAATCAAAAATCATGGTAGTATATTTTTTAAAATAACTGTGGTAGAAAGTGAATTATTTTTAATATAACTTAGGCGTGTTTTTCTACTACGGTTATTTTAAAACCGTGGTAGAACGTATATTCTTTTATCACGATTTTAAAATAATCGTTATAACAAGTATATTATTTTATCACGATTATTAGTGAATTATTTTAAATATAATTTAGGTGATCTTTCTATCACGGTTTTAAAGGAAGTGAATTTATTTCACCCTTCTTTCTCCCACGAGTAATAAAAAAACTATGATGGTAATTTATTCTACACGTGATAGAAAGTGAATTTAGTTTCACCCTTCTTTCTCCCACGATTAATAAAAAAACTATGATGGTAATTTATTCTACACGTGATAGAAAGTGAATTTAGTTTCACCCCTTGTACACGGCTTCTAGTTTCTTAAAAAAAAATTTAAAAATATATTTACTCACATGTACAGTCCCACCAATACAATATTTTAGGGCAAATCATTTCAGCCTCCCCAATCGCCTCCATCTCTATTATCGTTCTCAACTCGGCCCTCTCTTTCTCTGCAACTGCAAAGTACAAAATCTACAAGAATCAGAACCCATATCGGCATATCAGATATGATTTTGAATAACGACGACGATGATGATTTTGAAACACCCACCAACAAATTCCAGATCCACCTTAAACCCTCAAGCGTCTCCGGCGAGGTCGCACCACCGAATCCACATCGGCCACCCAGAAGCGGGAGTTGTGGCGTAGTGTCGATGAAGAGATTGTTCAAAATATCAAAACCCATATCCTTTAGCTTCCATCGCCCGCTGTTCCAGTTCGGGTTCGCCTTTCGCAAGCTTCAGCCTCTGGTCCGCTGTATTTCAACTCTCAAGCCCTCTCTCTGCAGCTGCTAACTTGTATGTATTGGTTTTGTTTTATTTTTATTTTTCTAAATCAATTAATAAATTTCTGTAATTCTTGTTTTGCCAACTAAATCCTATTAAGTGAAATTTTTAGTGCAAATCATTTCAGCCTCCCCAATCGCCTCCAAAAACAGAGTCCTGATTGAAGGTGAGTTGTGATTTTCCCCTTCACTTTTTTGGTGAAATTAGTAATTTCTTATAAAACATGATTTTCTCAGTTAATTATCTAGCACTAGCGCATCACTTACCAAACAAAGAAAAGATTTTCTCAGTTAATTGCTGGAAATTTTTACGATTTCTTCAAAAATAAATTACACACATTGTTTTTTTGGTAGACTATATATTTATTTTGTTGGTAGGTAAATTTATTCACATACATGCCTCCAGTGTGGCTTGAACCCTTGAAATTTTTTTGAAAGGGGATGATATACCATTCAAGAGAATGTTTTATTGTCCAAAACTTATGTTAATTTATACATGTTGTTAGTATTTATAGCGTGAATGCAGTATGTCTAAATCCTCTGTATGTGTAAATCATCATTTCATGATTATGAAATTCAAAATGTCTACCATTAAACGCGCATGAAAATTATTAATCTTGGTCCCAACAAGTAAGGGCCCTTAAGCAGCAACTAGGATATTGTGCTTTTGGAGGGGAAAGACACCTCTGGTATGGGGCTGGGGCACCTTGCGTAGGTGTGGGATCAATTAAATGAAGCTCCAATACTTTCTCTCTCACCTCTATTTCTAGAGATTCAATGGGATTATTAAGAATACTCAACATGATCAAACACATTATATTCATTTTCTCGTGGGAGCTGAAGTGTCTGGTTCTGCAATATTATTGCAGGTACCCAAATTTGAGTAGTTATTCATACCTTGTAGGCCACCTTCTGGAGGACGAACACTGCTTGCAATAGGAGGTAGGTGTTTTTTCCCTCCTTTATTTCTGACTTCTGAGGTGCAATGTTCATCATGCCATTGCTGGGTAAGTATAACCCATAGTTCTGATAAAATTGGTCTTTGGACTACTATTTGGTGTTTCAGGTTAAAGGTTTTCGCAACCAAGATGACCCATCATCATCATAGGAGCTACTAGCATTAAGGTGCTCTTATAATTTTTGGTTTACTATTAATATTCTTTCTTTTCCTGCTTATTAGTTACATGCTGCTGTATATAATCCATATTTTTATGGTGGATATATATATATATATATATAAGGAGTGGTTGAATGTTGATATATAATTCAAATGGTTAAATTCATCCTGTTTCTATTTAATCAACAAATTAATATCTAAGTTTGTCAAGAGAGATAGATAAGGCAAAATAAAAAATAATAGAAGAATCTGTAATTTTCTGCCTGTTCAACCATCCTTTGCCCACTTTTCATGGTCTTGGTATGCTAAGAGTTGTCGGACTTGTCTCAAAATTTTATTTTCTGATTAATTTACAGTTTAGATGGATTGGTTGGACTCAAAAGTCTAAACCTTAGTTATAAGGCTACAACCAATTCAGTGGTCCTGCTCCAATAAACCTTGAAAAAGTCCATGGTTTTTGGAGGAGCTTCAACTTCCAGCAATTCTTTCCATTTTAATATAAATCCCCATAGAAATAGCAGGAGCTTATGGTTCAATTCCTGATACATTTAGAGAGCTTTCTAATTTGATTTTTATTATATCTGTAAATGTAGTCTTCCAAAGGGAGTGGGAAAAGACAACAACGGGAGCGTCGATTGCATGGCCTATCAAGTACATCAAAATTTGTAAGTTATATGGTCTTTATGTTCGATAAAATTCTTTTATGATTGCACATTTTTAATGGTTTTTATATTCATACTTGGGGGGGGTCACATGCCTTTAAGTGACCAATTTTGTGGTGTATCTTGAACTTTATTACCTTATTGGTACATCGGCCCGTGTGGAGGCCATTTTTATTTCTTGTTTTAAAATGTTGAAAGTATGGGAGTATGGGATCATCTTATGTGGAGGTTTTGATTGATTGTTGTGGAGGAGAAGTTGTTGATATGTTGTTTAAGGAGTTAATACAAGTTGGCAACTTAATTTTTTTTTATGTATTAGTTGTTATTCATATTATATGCATATGATTGATGTAAGAAAAAATGGGGTGGATTAATTACCTTGAAAAAAGAGTGCTATAGTCACATCTGTATTCTCTAGTGATATGGTGGCGATCAGTAGCATCACCACATGGTCATATACAATCATACACAAAAAATCGTATTGCACAAGTTTCTCAGTGAACCTAGAACATGTGCCGATCATTTCGTTTAGGCATGGTAAACAAAAGAACCTAAGGACCCATAACATATATGCAATTGTTCATCTTAAATTACTGATTCTCCTTTCTGTCGACATTATGTGTGGATTAGACAATGTTTGTTTCTTTGTTTTTGGTAAGTTAAGTAAGTTGTATTAAGATAAAAGCATGTCCAAACAAGCTCTATTAGAGGAGGGAGGAACACAATCTGTTATAGTCAAGCAATAACACATGGCAACAAGTAGAATAATACAAGCACTAGCAACTAGAGACAAATGGCCCTTACCAAAACAAAAAAAATACTAGAGACAAATGGACTTACAATAAACATATGATACATTTTTGTGACATGTATCAATAAAAAGCTGTGTGAAATTTTTTATATTGTATTTGAACTATATAATCATATCCTAATTAACGTGAAAAAAAAAAAAAAAAAACATATATAAAGACTTAGCTCCTCCTTTTAAATACAAAAGTTGAGGATTCGAGTCCCCAACGAAACGAATAGGGATGTATAATTTACCTACCGAAAAAAATATATTTATATTATGAAAAAACACAAAGAAAACTAAGATATTCCTTGATTCATATGATAGAAAGAAAAAAAAAAAAAAACTTACATAATCACTAAATGTGATACATAAGTTCAAACGAATTGAATCTTATTATTATTCTTTTAGCACATATAACAAATCATTCCCTAAATTCTTTTAGGATGGGAGGAATGTTAGGGGTAGTTGGGGAGCTTCTTCTTGCATCTTAAGCTTTATCAAGACAAAGGACCATTTCTGTGGGAAGCTATTTTATAAGTTAAGACATTTTAGCAACATAGTTAAGATCGGAAATTTACTTTGTCTTTGAGTATTTTCAATCACCTATTAAATAAGCCATGCTTAAGCTTTAATCCTGGGATTATTTCCTTGATACACTGAACTTGCTTCGCTTGAGTTAAGACCACGTTAATACTTGCTTTGCTTGAGATAATATGAAAAGTAGATCTTTCAAAGTACCTTTATTATAATGCTTGATTTGCTTGGTTTAATTTTGGCAACTTTACAACTTGTTTTACATTAATTCTCTTACTTCAACTATTACATCTTTGTAGGTCAAAGCTAGGATTGCGGGTTGCGGTTGCCGTTACTTTTTTTTGTTGCCACTATATTTTTTGTATGACTCATGAAGAAGTTGCAAGAAGATATAAAGAATTTTTGTTTTATTTTGGTTAAGTAAATATATAAGGTGTGGATCATGTACTTCTTTGAAATTTGTATATGGTTAATTTTTGTCTAAAATAATGATTTGGAATTGGTTATATATATATATACACGATGTTATTGGTCAGTTGTAAATTATTTTGGTTATGATGTTATTTTTTATTTATTTTTCTAGGGTTATTGTAAGGGCAGTAGTAGGTACAAAAAAAAAAAAAAAAAAAAAGAAAAAAAAAGAGGCTTCATTAGAGTTACACCATTAATTTTTAAAAAAATTATATAACACTTTCTACCACGGTTATAAACCGTGATAGAAAATAGACTTTCTACCATAGCGCAAAACTATGGTAGAAAGTTTCTACTTTACTGCCAGGGTTCAAAACCAGGGATTATGATATCCGTTTCAATGTCAATGATTCTTGATTCTAGTAAACACACAGTTTTGCAGAAAAATGGTATGCAAATAAATGATTTGAACATTCATCAAATCAAACTTATTGATTGACACGGTACCCACGCACTATGTATGGTTGCAGAGTAATAAAAAAGGGTATACATAGCACAGTGTCGCGGCATGGCACACATAAGGGACGTTTATATAAGGCCCACACTCATATTGGATGCGCTTATCTTTAAAAATGTTTTAAATTTAGCATGCATTTTTTGAAATGTCAAATTTACACAATGATATCAATATATTTGATCATTCTATTAAAATATATTTATTATTATTATTATTATTATTATTTTAACCCAGATAAATATCAGTGTTAAAATATTATTAAGTATAAAATTCCATTGTCTTTCACCTTTTGTATTGTCATGACTTTGAACAAGTCGTACATTTAGTAATGCCTTTCTCCTATTATATCATGACCTACTTAAATTAGAAAAAGAATGATTAACACAATGGCTCCGGTTCCGTCGAAATAGACGTAAAATATATATATTTAAAAAAATATATATATATTTTTTAGGTAAAATATTTTTTTAATTTTTACTTTTTTGGTGTTTGACAAAAGTTTATGTCGAGATTGAGGTCGAGTTCATCGGGCGGAGTATGTAAAATAACTTGTCAAAATTGATAGATATATTAGTTTACTTAAATTTTAATATTTTTTTCTTCGTAAATATTTTATGACAACCAAACACTAAAAAATAAAAAAAATATTTTCTGAAAAATATGTTACATACAAACAAACGGAGCCAAAATCACATCTTTGGATATGATTGGTTTATCTACTTGGACTGGCAAAATAATTTACATTGTTGATTTCCCGCCAAATAATCATAAATTGTTAAGTACAATGAATAATGCTATCAAACATTGGTTGAAACAATTTAAGAACAGGGAGATTATTAATTACTGTGTAAAAATCCGACCTTGCATGATTGTTAGAGTAGCCATAAATAAATAAATATATATATATATATATATATATTGACATGATAGAACTAATCAATAATGATATATACGATAAGTATATGGGTTGAGCGATTGTCATTTGACGTAAAAGTTTAAATTGTTACGGTCGAAGTCCTTGCATATCTGTTACCATTCCCCAAAGGCTCGACCAATAATCACTCACACACACTTAAGCTTTTAGGTGTACACCCTCAAAACGTCAAACCACTTGTTCCTGGTTTAATGATGTGAGGGCTAAGTAATTATCAACTTGAACTTGGAAGCCATCCCCTTACCCATATACATGAATTAAAAACTTAAATTATTAGGTAAACGTGAAACAAAAATAAACAAAAGCCCGCGACAATATATAAGAGGCTATTGGACTTGAGACACTCTCAACATCAAAGATCTGAGTTGATATGTTAATTAAACATAGAAAATTTTATTCCATCATGAATCAAAGAGAACGCATAAATAAAGAATAGTACAACACTCATGCACAAACTGTATCACCAAAGAACTGATTTATGACATAAATTAAGTACAAAACAATTATACATATAGAGAGTATATATATATATATATATATATATATATATATATATATAAAAGATTATATATGCAGTAGTTCTGTCGATCACCATGCATGATCACCCGGACGGTTTGATTTTGTTCTTGCTGCCAGAGGGAGTAACAGCTTTCACCAATTTCTGACCCATCATTGTTGACACCTTCTTCCTATCCGGAGGAATCACACTCCCAGGCTTAGAATATTGGGACAATGACGACGGACCTTGACCACCCTGATCTGCCATATCAGCTCTGTGTACTTCTGTCTTAATGCTTCTTGCCTTTCACAAATGAAAATGAGAGATATTAATGGTAGCTCTTATGTTTGACAAATGAAGGGAACACATGGTTAGGGTTTTTATAGAGACTTTGAACTCAATACTTTTTCTCTAATGTACGTACGTTGATATTGCATGGTGGTGTGGGTGTTGGTGTTGGTGTGGGTGTTGGTGTCACGCGTGAATGTGGAATTTGGGCTAGCTGCGTGTGAATGTGGAATTTGTTGAAATGAGAGTACCATAAGTCTATTAAACATAAATTTTCTTTTTATTTAAATTACAAAAAAAAAAAAGAAGGTATACACGAAAATTTTACTTTTGACTATATATATATACACACACACACAGTATATAATATGAACAGAGGTAGTGACCAGCAAGAATGGTGGTTTTTTTTTTTTTGTTAGATTCATTTCCTAAGTAGTTCTTGCAATCTTCTGCAAACTTACTATGAAATTAACTTGTTTACTTCCAATGAATTGCTAGTTAGTTTAGTTGAAAGTGATGACAATGTGAATCGGCCTGCAAGTTTTGTAGTTTCTTTTATCTATCCAAGTTATTTCCATTCTTCTTCTCACCTACCAGTCTCTATGTCTCTCTTGAATTTCCAGATTAAATGAAATCGATCTCTTGAAATACAATCTTTTCCAATAATTTGGCTCTACCTAATGCAATGATTCGATTGGGTGGTGGCGAAATTTTACTTTGGATGTACTATATATATATATACACACATATATATGTACGTAATATATATATATACACACACATATAGTGTATATAATATGAACGGAGAGAGTGACCAGCAAGAATGGTGGTTTTTTTTTTTTTGAAAAAATTACATATAAATGGAGTCAAAGTTTCATATTTACTTAGAGACTGAGTCAAAGTTCCATATTTCTCTAAAATGGATTGCTGAGGTGGCACATGATTTTTTACTGTTTAGAAAATTGTAATGCCTAAAATGTCCTTCCCTAACAAAAAAGTAGTACCTTCAGTGCAAAAAAGTAGTACCTTCAGTTCAAAAAAGTAGTACCTTCGGAGAAAAAGTAGTACCTTCGCGGGTGTTTAAAAAACATGGTACCTGGACGCCAAAAAGTAGTACCTTCAGTTCAAAAAAGTAGTACCTTCGAAGAAAAAGTAGTACATTCGCGGAAGGGTATTTTAGGCACCACAATTTCTAAACAGTAAAAAACCATGTGCCACCTCAGCAATCCATTTTAGAGAAATATGAAACTTTGACTCAGTCTCTAAGTAAATATGGAACTTTGACTCCATTTATATGTAATTTTCCCTTTTTTTTTTGGTTTGATGCATTTTCCTAAGCAGTTCTTGCAATCTTGGGCAAACTTTCTACGAAATTAACTTTTTTACTTCCAATGAATTGCTAATTTGCTTGGTTGAAAGGGATGAAAATATATATCAGCCTGCAAGTTTAGTAGTTTCTTTTCTCTATCCCAATTATTTCCATTCTTCTTCTGATCACCTACCAGTCTCGAGCTTTGTCTCTCTTGAATTTCCAGATTAAATGAAATCTCTTGAAATATAATATCATATACATACATGCATACATATATATATATATATATATATATATATATATATATATATATATTATCAGACATTCAATTTCAATGATTCGATTGGATGGTGACAAATTGTTATTGAAAAAGGGTAGCACAGAATTAATGGTTTAACATTCGTCTAATCACGATTATTAATTAATTGATATAATAATTACTTTGACAGAGTCACGAGGTAAGTGAAAAGGAAAATGCTGGCATGCAACTTGAAACTCGCTAGGAAAAGGTTAGGAATATAATTTACACGACTAAATAAGGACTTCATTAACAAATATCTGGTACACCCACAAGAGAAATAATGGTTCAAAGCCCTTTTGGCATCAATGAGTCTTTAAATGAAAAACGAAGTATGTTAGTGATTGATATGAAGCTGCAATTTTAGGCAGTTACATAAGCATCACCATAACATTACCCATAACTCTCCATTTATTGATAAGTCTTATAAGATGGATCTCATGTTCAAACCTTCCACATTATCCAAGTGGGCCCCAAAAGAATACTACATTTTTCAAATATTTGATCATTTTTGTTTATGTGTCAGGTTGATTGAACATGATCACATATTCTTCCATCATATAATAATTTCATATAATCTTTGATAATATAATAATTTCTCAATATATTGGCAAACTGTGAAAATGCTAGGAACCTAATTGGTACATGGTTAGCGATTTCAATATGAAAGGAAAAAGTCATTACACAACTTTCTTCTGCAAGAGTTGGAGAAGCATTTCAATTCCTAAGCAGTTCTTACACTCTTCCGTAAACTTGCTATGAAAATCATGAACTTCATTAACATAACCTTCATTAACTTATATGGAAATTTCGAGGAATCCGTAAGTTATGAAAATCGTTAATGCTGTTTCTACAAAAACTTGCATATAAGTTATGAAAATCGTGTTCAATTTATGGAAGTTAGAAAGAATTTTGGAGGAAATTAACCGAAATTTTAATGGGCAATGCATGAATGTACGCACTCTTTTCTTGTATGCTTCTTACAAAGTACACAAATACATTATACATGTTATTGTTTTGTGTTTACACTGTCACTTCCCTTTCTTTTCCAATTATTGAACTGGTTTGATGTATATTTCCCAACTTAAAAGAAAAGTTATGTTGAAATTTTGAATTGTCCAAAATTTTTAACCATTTTTATGAGCTACCATTATTAAAATCGTTTTATTTAGTGAATCGTGTAATTTCAATCCATTTTTGGAGAAATATAATAATGTTTTTCAAGAACTAGAAAGAAAAGTATGCAAATATGATGGTGGAGACTCGTCTTGCCATTCTTATTCA